TCCACTTTATTACTTGTTAACGAACCGTATACTTGTGGTAGTTTTAAATCGAAAGAAATAATTTCGTGAACTGTATCCGTGTTGTATCGGAGGGCGAAAAAGGTTCCAATTATATATCTTACAGGGTCGGGTAGAATCGATGGAAAAAGCCCAGCACAAGTGTTGTACCATGGTAGAGATTAATTTGGTACTGTACCTTTGAGATTTGACTTTGAGTCCATATTGAAGAATACTATTTAGTCGAGTGTGGAAGATATGAGTAATTTCACTTTTCCACAGTTGTCCACAGTTCCTTCGTATTCAACTTTTAAGGATAGATCTATTGGAGATAGATACGAGAATGCTAATCTGGTTGTGTTTGCTTTTTGTGGTTTTGAAGGTGTCGAGACTAATAAGGGGCCTTCAACTAAAACACTTGGAGTTTGATTCTGCTATAGGATGTACTTCGACCCTATTTGGTATATCTTAAATTCCTTATGGAAATTTTAGGAACTGGATGTCTAGGTTCGAGCATCATTTGTGGATACTGTGAAAGACGAAAAATAATTTTTAGTAAGGTGGAGAAGTTAGATCTAGTTGAAGAGTTTAGTCTATTTTGTTACAGTTGAACTTGTTTTTTTAGGTGGGGAAATTTGGAACTCCGTTTGTTGCACCGAAATTCGTGTCAAAGTAGAGATTGTTATAATTTGAGTGTGACCTGAATTCTTTGGTGAAAATAATTGAAATTTATAATTAAAGTACACATTAAGAAGAACTCTATTTGGAATGCTTTTATAATCCTACTTGAAATCTATTGGCAAATTCTAGTTGAAATTTTATTTGGAAGCCCTATTTGGAGTTAGAATTTGTGTTGGATTTAAAGAGATAAAGATAGGAAATTTTTTAGCATTTTATTTCATTTACAACTTTGCTTCTGGGGCTTGGATTGTCATATATATATTTGACTCTTCTTTCAATGTATGCATTGCTAAAATTTATTTTTCTCTCATTTGGTTGTCAATTAATAAAATTACTTGAATCCTCTGTCAATCACTCTTCTTGCTTAATATTTTTTTTTCTTGTGTGATCAATACTTTATATTGAGACATACTTGCCTCTCTGTTCCCAACAGTTAACACAATGGAATATTTAGAGGATTAAAATTAGATTTTTTAGTAGATTGTGATAGAAGTTTTTGAAATATGTGATTGAAAAGTTGTATGACACATAAAATATGTGATTAATATTGATTGTTTGATTTTGACTTAAAATAAAATCAGATTTTAATCCGTACCAAACTGGCTATTAATCTTTCTAACATAATAATGAATGTAACTCTCTGAATTCAAGATATATTTCCTATAGTCTCTTTGTTTAAGAATTATTCTAAAATTAAATATTACATAATAATGGTTGAAAAGTCCCTCAAGTTTTAATTAAGTACATTAATTCATAGAATTTATTTAGATTCAAAAATTACATGCAAAATAGAAAATATAATGTAAAAAGTCCTAAAATAAAAGTTTTATTGTTCTCTTGAATTGAGATTTAATACAAGTAGAATAAATAATGTTTTCAAAATAGAATGAATGTAAACTAAAATATATGGACTATGGGCATGATGAACAAATGGAAAATAAAAGTATGAAGACAAAATGGGAAACGAATATTTCTTATTTTTGTATATTTTAGATAAATACAAACTCTTTGTTTCCCTATTTGAGCCAAAATTTTCAAAAAATTATTTTTAATTATACATTCTTTCAATGAATTATTTTACACAAATAAAAAAAAAATTCTTACCTTTTTATCACATATCATCCAAAAAATTGCTACTACAAAGTTTATTCTTAAAAAAAAGGAGCTCAAACAAACCTTGTATATCAAAAGAAAATGGGCCCCATAGACTCGTCATCCCCCTAAAATCTAAGGTTTGTCTACTTGTACATCAAGGTGTCGAGTTGACACCCTAGTGTATAGACCTCCTCACAAGAGGGAGCTCACGATTTTTTTTATTCATCGTGGGCCTCCTTTTGTGCCTCAATGTGTAAATAGAAAAATCCAAAACTCTAGGGGCGAGGCGGTGGAGGCCCTCAAGGTTAGGTTTCAACCTTTTTTTTCTTTTTCTTTTTCTTTTTTAGAAAAACCCTAAAATCTATTTCAGCAACACTTTTCTTATCCCAAGTACAACAGGTATATTAACACATTTATATGTCAAATTGTAAATTATGATGTAATAAAAGTATGTAGACTAATATTTTCTAATTATTGAACTCAATCATATAGTAATTTTTTTTCCCTATTTTGTCCTTATAAAATCAGTATATAGATGTTTGTATACAGAAATATATAATTATATAAATACGCTTTCTACATCGTTTCTATGAACTCTTGATAAGAAAGTCTAACGTGATTTTCCTTTGAAAATTGGAGAAATTTTTTGGTGCTAATGTCAATTTCCTTCATAATAAAAAACTAAAAAATGAGAACTTTATTGATGCTTTCAATACATGAGAGTTGACTAATACTTCACTAATTCTCTTTAAACTTTCCTAGATTTGGCCTTTTCAATTTTCAAATAAGTAAGTGAGCGTGCTTTATAAACGTTGCTTTGTTGACTAGCAATTCACAACTTGAGGTCATTATATAGCATTTTTTTATGGGAATAGCAATAGGTCAGGAACATGATGAAGCATGAGTTAAAAAAATTTGCATTTACCGTCTTATTTAACAGTCTACATAAGGCCAGCATTCACCCCACTTCTCATCGCCTCGTCCGTATGCTTCTTTTAAAACGATTATATCATATCTTTAGATATCTTTGTTAAATAATTATTATTATTACTTCAGGCAATGGGCTTTTGCTAAAATCCTCACTTCGGCCAAGTTGTACAAACATAATACTGCACAAAAGTAATTGATGTGACAGTTCTACAATAACGACATCCAAGAGTCAAGCATATAAATACTCGATCGTATCTCATTAAAACATAGGTATAACCGAAGTGAAAGACTTGAAAGTATAATCTAAAATTCGACACCCATATTTTTCATTCATTCTATCTCTCACACCTAATTTTCTACATAATCTGACTTGAGCATTGTAGGGCATACGATCATTGTATCTCATTAGAGCTACGACCTATGTGAAGGTAACATATAAGTGAACAGGAGAAAGGAGTTGAGATCTGTTGACATATAAGTCAAATATAATTTGAAGGTCAACACTAACTATTATGCATCAAGGGTGATGTGACGACGAATTATTTCAACAGAAAATAAGTAGAGAAGTAAAAAATGTAATTTTTACATATCATCATATAGGCAAATTGAATAAAAAGAAATTTCCTATATCATGCCCCGATTGAATCTGCGCTCTTCCACCGCAACTCATTTGTCCTAGACACTATCTTAACAGAAGAACTGTGGACCAAAAAGTCAAAAGGACGGTGAAGAATAATTGTAGTAAAAAATTCAGATGTTGATTGCCCAGTGGTCCTGTTCTGTCCTGTGGAGATCAGAGCAATTAATTAAGAACCCAACTTCTTAGATCCAAGTGTGGACACGCAGAAATAAAGTCAAAAACTCCTGCTCCACTCCATTCATTTGTCTGACACCGTTTCCAATCCGAAATTCGTACATCGAAGAACAAACTTGAATCCCAAATTCCATAAATTGCAAGAGTTTTGCTAACAAACTTGAATCCTAGTCACGAGGTTATTTCACGCCTTATTAGCAGTCGAAGTGTGGGGATTCAATTTTTGAGACATAAAATTGAACTTCTTATAGACGCAATGTACATACAGCTCTTGTTCCCTATCCTGTTAGAGCACATCTCGCGATTTACCTCCCTTACAAAGTTCTAGGGGCGAGACGGGGCCCTCAAAGTTAAGATTCAACCTTCCTCTTTTTAAAAAAAAAAATTGTACAAGCATCGATGTATGATTAGAGAGTTTGAAAAAAAAAAAATAGTCAACAACTTGCTGACACAGCAACGTGTTTTTTATTATATTTCTTTCTGCTTTTCAGTTTATCATTTTCAACAAGCATCCAAATTAATTAATTAACTAATACAATGTACTATGAAATTTATGGATGACGAGTGGAGCAAGATATTTGGATATGTACGAACATAATTGATGAACTTATAATTAAGTTTTATTTCACAATTATTATTTTCGAACTTTTTTTTTTTGGAGTGTGCCATGTGAACATAAAAATTTGTATATAATGGTGTCCTCCACTCACATGGATGGGACTTACATGTATGAACATAATTGATGAATTTATAATTAAGTTTTATTTCACAATCATTATTTTCGAACTCTTTTTTTTTTTTAAGTGTTATGTGTACATAAAAATTTGTACATGATGATGGAGAGTGGGGGACACCATTATGTACAACAAGAATAATCTTTTTTTTATACACTCATTTTCAATCATATATTCACACAATAAAATATTATACACCTCAATATAAAATTTTTCCTACATTTTAACTGCAATTTTTTTAAAAAATCATGATTCAAAACATTATTTTCGAGAAAAAATGGTTGTCAAAGAAGGCTAAGAAAATGTTTGGTGAGAACTAAAATTAGATTTTTTGGTAGATCATGATAGAAGTTCTTGAAATATATAATTTAAAAGTTGTTTTTTGAAATGTATAATTTAAAAGTTGTGAAACTCATGAAAGATGGGTTAATATTGATTATTTGATTTTAACTTAAATTAAAATTAAATTTTAATTGTTTGGCTAATTTTAATTGTATCGTAACCAAACATGGGCCAAATTAGATCGAATCATGGAGGAGGCTCCCTTGGGGTCAGGAGTATAAAGGCTGTTCGAACCCTGGTCAACTTGGGTACATCCCGCAATTTACCTCCCTGAACTGCTGAGGGGTCGGAAGTTCAGGGACGAGGATATAGTTTGGCGTAAGTTGGGACACCTCGTTAAAAAATAATAATAATAAAAAAAAAAGATCGAATCATCAACTGTTTGGCATTTTTCTCTTCCGTACACACGCCTCCCAGTCCAGTTTGACAGCTACGTACCTCCAAATTTCATTGCTAAAAATAAATTTTATATCCTGCGGTGTGAATCCGAAGACTACACACAATTGGAATCTTCCTTCAATAATTCATCAACTTCATTCCCACCCTCAATCAATATTCAAATTCCGAACCCCCTCTCCCTTTCCTCCTCTCTCCCTTTTTTGTGTGTTGAACTGAACAAAAATGGCGAATTCAGTTGATGCAAATTCTGCAAAGTGTTTCTCCGGCGTCATAGGGCGGTTGTTGTGCGGTGGCAGCCTCCCGACACACCCTTCTGATCAATTTGTTGAGTACAAGAAGTGCAAAGAAGTTGATCATCCGCCTGAAAATGCTTTAAGATCTGATGACGCCAAAGTGAAAGCAGCAGAAGCTCCAGGAGTGGTAGCCAGATTAATGGGTTTAGATTCAATACCAGGAGATATCAAGCCAAAAGATAGAAGTCTGGCTTCTTATTTTCGAAGCAGGTCAGTGAATTCCATTGATTTTCTTGCACAGTTTGATGTTTCTTGTAAACAATCCCCGGCCCAGCACAGAAGAGTAAGAACAGCAGCGTCTTTAAGTGAAGTCCCTTCTCTTGATTTTAGAGGAAAACATGATTTTAACGTGATTCTGCACTTTGAGCAAGTAGAAAATTGTAAAGATGAACCCAGATATCAAGAAAGATTGGAGGTGAAAAAGCCTGAAGTGATGATTAATTATCAACAAGCTAAACAGAAGAAGGTCCTCATCAATCAAAACATAACAGAAAACCCATATCTTATGAATAAATCTTGTAAGAAATTGGAGGATAAGCCCAAGAGAGTGCATATTAAGAAGAATCATATAAGTAGAAAAACGAATGTGGACCTGAAGGAAAGAAGGCCAGCTAAATCACACAATACCAAGAAGAAAGAGAATAAGTACAAAGAATGCAACCCAAGAAATTCATGTTCTTTCTCAGTTTTTGATAACATTCAAGATTATCAGATCCACCCAGAAGCCACTCCATCAGGTACGTTCTGTGAAATAAATATGATAATTCCTAGCAATGCTTATTTTTCATTGGTTTGTTTAGCATGCTAGGTTAAATGATGAATATTCAATGTCCTTGCAGAAGTTTCGCCAGTACGTCAAGTTTCAAACAAACCCCTATCGCATTGTAACTATGAAGAATTCAAGGCAACCACTGGCGAACATGACGGCAACAAAACGATGAAGGAAGAGAGTTCTTTCAACATAAAGTTGCTCGAAAAAATATGTAATTTGACAGAATATGATCTAAAGAAGTCTTGTTGGGTACCTGATCAAGTGTTAAAGTTTGAAGACCTTGAAGAGATATGTTTCCATTATGGGCAACAAATTTTTGAGTTATTGCTGAATCAAGTTGTTGATGAACTTGTGCTTCTTCAGCTTCACAGGAGAAAGGAATTCTTTTCCCATATGCATGTTAAACAAAGAGATTTGCTGGTGCACACTGTAGAAACTGTGTAAATAATGAAGTCTGAATGCAAAAGATAAACTTTCTGATCAATGTTTTTGGCTGATTTTATAGTTGCTCATGTACAATTTGTTGGATATTGGTTAAATAAATCGAGAATTGAAAATCGATTAAAGTTCGTATCGATTTCAGCCAAATACTCAAAAGCTCGACTCAATCCGTTTAGGCAAAATTGTTTGCCACTTCGCCGCTTCGGGGCGCACAAACGGGGATCGACCTCAACCATTTCGTCCACACACTTTCATGATCTATAAATAGGACCCTTTGGATGTCCTATTCCTCACAGTTTGATATGCAAAAACGTCTCTCATCCTCTCTTCTATCCAAAATCAAAATCATTTCATTTATTTTGATTTTCTTTCATTTCATCTTTGGAGTATATAAGCCTACATTTGGTTCGTTGTACTTGTGTTTTGGAGTGCTACAAACACAAGTGTAGCCGTTGTATCTTGGGAGTCGATTGCCGAAATTCGTAGGCACCGTTGCGAGGCAAATTTGACTTAAGAACAAAGAGTCCAACTCTTACCTCGGCTTTGTCACCATCATTATACTTATTTCGGCGTCACTATTCACAAAATTCTTCCAACACAATTAGTCTTATGCTTGTGCAATGCACGGCCTTGTTATTTTGAAGGTAATGTTAGCGTGTCAAATGTTGAGAATTGATGAGAGATGTGTACATTATAAAATTTTCATATACACATTTGTGTAAAGAAATATGTTTCATAAAGATATAAGGGTGAATCCAAAATTTTAACAAAAAGGGTGCGGCGAAGACGAAACATCTGGCTACGTATTTAAAATCTTCTTTCATTTGCAAAATACTAAATAGAGTTCACAAAGAACATAATTACCAGTCTATACGTAAATTTGGTGTCCATACAATTAGATAGAAATTAGGATTCTAATGAAACTAACATTTACTTTTATTCGGTTATTTAAACCAGCTAACATGTAATCAAGTCAATGTATCATAATTTTGTTGTGAAATCAAAAGTTATTACTGAATAAAAAGAATTTTAACCCAATAACTTTTTATTTGTCGTTTTAATCAATCGGTATTTATATATTTAATGGGACATACAGAAGTTCATAAAAAATTATCATTTGTCTATTTAGCGAGAATATGATCAATTTGTACATTGGCTCAGTCGAGACTAAAAAATTTTATTATTTAAGTGCGATTATAAAATTAACAGGTAGTAATTTATTGAAGTTCTCGCGTGTCAACAAATAATCAAAAGCTACTACATGTTCATGAAATTAAGGAGAAATTGAAAATAAAATGTGTTATATGCGTATGGTCAATAGAGTATATATTTATTATTAAATAAATATATGTGAAATAAATTCTTGAGACATAACAAATTGCATAAGAAATAGAATTCTATCATTCATATTCGTCCAAGTACCTAGGCAGCTATTTTATAATAATAAAGAAACAAATTTCCCTAAATGACACGATCTCTCTAGCTAATGATGATAATACGGTAGAGTTATACTACACGTGTACGAGAAAAGCACTGGCAGAATTTTTATAGAAACAATTGGCTGTTTTTACTTGGACAATGGTAAAAAAATAATAAAAAGATATTGATTAAACAAGTGCTACCCATGCAGCACCTGTTAAAAACTCGTAAGGAAAAAACCCTCTATATAGAATTTTCCTGGTAGCACAAATTACAATCTTGAACACCCCTCAAGGCTGAAGTCCAACAGAACTGCCCTCTATTTTCTTCTTCTTTATTTCATTGCTGGTTGATCTCCACCTAAAGAAAGTACCAAAAAGCTCCTCCACATCCTCTAGGGTTCTTCCTTGTGTCTCCGGCAGTAATGTGTAGAAGAAAATCCAGCCTGTAAGTGCAATAGCTGTGTACAGAAAGAAAGCCCCTCCAATTGTAATGTGCTTGTATAGGGATATAAATGACATTAGCACTACTCCACTCATTAATCTATTCATTGCAACTCCCAAACCGCACCCTTGGGCCCTTAGCCTCAACGGGAAAATCTCGGAGCAGTAGACCCATACAATGGGGCCCATCCCCATCGAGAAAAATGCTACAGACGTCATTGTCGTGAGGATACACAAGGCGATGGCCCATGTTACTTTTACATCATGAGAGTGATCAATTACAGTCAATCCAATAGATAGGGACATGAGGGAGATTACCAAACCACCGGAACTTGTGAGGAGCAAAACTCGCCGTCCGACCTTGTCTACCAAAAATGTAGTCACAAGGGTAAAGATTGTCTTTGAGAATCCAACGGCTATAGTGACGAGTAGTTTGTCCGTGACATTTTTAATGCCGACTTTTTCAAAAATTCTAGGACTATATAACACGACGGCATCTATGCCGCTCGCTTGTTGAAAGAAATGTATGCCAATTCCCACCAATAAAATGTGTAGGACGGTAGGTGAAGGGTGAAGAAATAATTCCTTCCACACATCTTGGCCACGACTTCGTTTAGGGACAGAAACCACATCGTCATTGCAATCTAATGGCAATCCTGCCGCCTCTTTAATATCAACTAGTCTCATTTGTGCATCCTCTAACGAATCTGATGTTTTGTTTAAGACTTTTCTCGCGTCACCTAAACGACCTTGCATGACTAGCCATCGGGGTGACTCGGGCATTACTAGGACACCTAAAGCTAGAAAAATTGGTGGAATTGCACCAAAACCAAGCATAAATCGCCACCCCAAGTTTGTTGGAAGCTTGGAAAATACAACATTAGATACATATCCTAGCAATACTCCTGCAAGACAGATTAAATAATAGATCATCAAGACCAAAAATTCGATAAAAACGACACCAGAGTGCTATCATATATTCTGAAACCCATGCTTTGTACACAACACAATATAACAAATTTTAATTTATAAACTTTTTTGAACATCTGTAAGAGTAGAAAAATTAACAAAACAGTTAATCGGGTTTCATAAACTAGTATTTTAAATATGAAGGGGAAGCAGATAAAGGAAGGAATCTGAGGCTTTGTTCATGAAAAATTATAAATAATTTTTTAAGAAGAATAGTGAAAAATTTATGTATGTACGTACCAGCGTTGATGAAGACTTCAGGGAAAGAAGTGAGGGATCCACGAGATGACGTTGGAGATACCTCGGCGGAGTACACAGGAGCTATCATCATAGCATACCCAACTCCGATCCCGGCCACAAACCTGCCGACCATAAGAAGCGCATAGCCGTTGGCGAAACCCATTAAAAGAGCTCCGGCGAAGAAGATTGCCGCTGCGAAGATTATGGTATAACGGCGGCCAATCCAGTCGGAGGTCCGGCCCGCCACGGCGGCGCCGAAAAGGGCGTAGAGATTTATGGTCCCTACTAGGATCTCTATCTGGACGTCAGAGATTTTGAGTTCTTCCTGGATGTATATTGTTGCTCCACTCATGACTCCAGTATCTGCAACAAAAACGCCCACGTTGTAAACTAAGAAATTACAAAGAACGATACTTGCAACAAACGTTATTGTTATTACCATATCCGAGTAAGATTGATGTCATGGAAGCTAAAATGGTGCATCCTATAGCATACATGTTTCTCTTTGGTTTCTTGGGGAGAGACAACTCGGAAATTGGCTGCTGGGCATGGTTTGAATCTTCGTAAACTGCACTCTTTTCTGGGTTTTGATCTGCCATGAGAAAAGAAGGTGGAGGTTATGTGACGGATGAGTTTAGATGAGCAAAAATCTAATCCTTCTTATGGGCTTATATAATAGACGAATATTAGTTATTGTCCAACTGGAAGATCAGAGCTATCTAACTGAAAATACAATTTTATTCAATAGTGAAGTCCAAATATATTAGGATATTTATTATTTGTTAATAAGGTTTCTAGTTGTAATAGGTTTATCCTTCTTTTTTTTCTTTTTTCTTCTTTTTTTTTTTTTTTTGCATGTTTAGAAGAGGAGTTCTTTTCTTTATTGATTAGAATAAGATTTCTTCTTTTCCTTTGATTAAAATTTTAGTTTGTTTCCTTTTACGATTTTAGTTTGGTTTCCTTATATTAGAGGGTGTTTGGTAGATATTTTTATGTAAAAATGCATTTTTGAATAGTAAATTGATGGGAAATGTATGGTTAAAAAATAAGGAAAAGTTTTTTATTTAAGTGTAATATTATTTTAATAAAGAATGTGTGGTTGAAAAGAAGAGAAGGAAAAATGCATTTTGAAAAAAAATGGGTACCAAACAGGCTTTTAGTAAGATTAGATAATAATTTTATTTATTTCTATAATGTTAGTATATAGTTGTATATAATAAATTTCATGATTAATATGAATACATGACACTTTGTAATCATATTCTAATGTTTTTTCAAACTTTCTTTCCCAGCCCTACCATGATATTTATGCATAGATATTTAGGAGGTGTTTGAGCCACATTATTTTGGTAATAATGCATTCTTGAATAGTGTATTGATGGGAAATGTGTGATTAAAAAATAAGAAAAAATTTTTGATCTGTGTGTAATATTATTTTATTGAAAAATATGTGGTTGAACTAATATCAAATCACTGTTTAAAAATGTATTTTTTTGAAATAATGTGGCTCAAACATACCCTTAATAATTTTAGCCCGTCTATTAACAATACAACCACCATGTATTGGCCTTTTTCCTTCGCTATAATATTCACTTGCAAGGGATCAAAGAGCGAGACATTACCCAAATAATTATTTGAGTTCTTGATCAAATTCTTTATTGAGATAATTGCACATGTCATCGCTAAATGTTTCTTTTGCTATAGGCATTATTTAATCTTTTATTTGTGTCACCCACAATACCAAATCTTTTATTTTGTTGTTCTATCAATTTAACCATTAGTTGACCAAAAGTCAACGATCTAACCAAATTTTGACAAATTTTAAAGAGTAAAATGATAAGTTTATATTATCTCATAAAAAATTAGAATAATTAAATAAGAAAACGAAAAAAAAAAATTATCCTCTTCGACCAATCCAATCCAACCTAAGTGAAAACAACCACCTTCCATAGCCATCACCACCACTACGGCACTACCCAAGGTAAAGAACGTCTTCTTCGAAAATGTGGTCGATATGGCCTTCCACAGGAATGGCTCATGTTTATTAAAGGTTT